GCTCGAAATGACTGCGGATGGCACCGCCACACATGAACAGTAGAAAAATGTCACCAGCACACCATGAGTTGAAAAAGCAAAATATTTTATTGCCAGTAGCTGTATCTCATTGGCAAGCGCTTTCGGGGCCTCGCAGGGTCTAAGCCTGATGAAGGGGACCCTGCGAGGCCCCGAAAGCGCTTGCCAATGAGATACAGCTATTGGCAATAAAATATTTTGCTTTTTCAACTCATGGTGTGCTGGTGACATTTTTCTACTGTTCATGTGTGGCGGTGCCATCCGCAATCATTTCGAGCACCCATCTTCATCAAGTGGGAATCCCGGTATGGAGTGCGGTATGGTTCCTGTTTCTGTTCATACTGTGAAGTGGTACATTGAGACCTCAGAAATAGAGTGCATATATTTAAAAAAAATAAAAAATAATTCTCCCTGAAAATAATCATATGGGATTGTGTTCATTGCATGCAAAGATTTCCTATCATGGTGTACAATCTCTGCAACTGATCTGCTTGCATTGCCTTTTCTACAAAGAAACCATGATCCCTTCACTGCTAGTGTACCCCATCAATATAATGGGTTGAAAAGGGAGAAATGTTACAAGGCAGTTAAAGACAAATCCCTAATGCTGGCAAACACTCAGGATTTTTTCTGTTATTTGCAATCAGCTGACCTGCATCAACTTTTCTCCATGGATTGCCTGACATGTAAATGCAACCCATTTGTGGCAATGGCTTTATTCCCTTTTCAGTACAGAAAAGATAATAGTTGATAACTGGCAAAAGAGATTATATTTTATCATGTGGAGTTCAACAGATTACACGTCCACACTTCTGTGTATAATGCTCATACAAGTCATATCTCTCATGAATGTTGGTTTGTGTATAGCTGAATGAAGCTTCAGCTCATTGCTCTGAAATACTGTATATGGAAGAGTTCAGGAGCAAAAATTACAACAGTGATGATCAACATTTCTACCCTCATAAAAGATCGAGTTGCAATGCAATGCAAGCAATGAAAACAATTTTAAAATGAATAGTTACATTTTAAAAGTTACAATTTTCAAAGCCTAAAGTTTGTGTTTGTACATGGAAATGTCAGAAGTGAAATTATTCATTCATAAATGGCCCTATAAAACATAACCTTTCCAGCTACATCCGTGTACTGATGTATTTGTTTTTGCAGGGACATATATTATTTTCGTTTATGAACATTATGCATTAAAACCTCAAACAGAGATAAAATTCACAGCAGAACGTTCAAAGCCAATTACTTATTTATTAGTATGAAAAAATTGGTTCTATGGTGTTAATATATACTGCCCAAACATGGAGATGCAGTTATCTATTAAAATAAAATCTAAAAATAAACATCTGGTATAAAAAATAAATAAGGAACAAATTCATCTGGCCACTTCACCTCAGATAAGTGGATCAAGCTTAAACAAGTTTGGCTTTCTACATAAGTAATATCAAAAAGACTCACATTGCATTACATTTATTATTAATCATTAAAAATGTGACAGTGAAATATTTGATCATCACTCTGTGTGCTATCTAACCAGAAAAATAGCTCTCAGGGTTGTGATGTGTTCATTAATCTGTATCTGTACATTCTGCTACTTGAGAAAGTGTCACCTTTGTTTTGTAGCTCTTTATAGATAGACTCAGGACATCCAGTTAATGGTTCATTATTTTACTGTCTGGAGCAGTTATTCATATTGGTGATACATACACAACATATTTTCAGTTCAGCATATTAAAAAAAGATGTAATCGCTTTGTATAAAGTATGAGAACTAAGCACAGTAAACATATTGTAAACCCAAATCACTGATTGTAAAACACAGAGCTCTTACATCTAGGAGAATGAATACAGACCTCACTGAACAGGCTCCAATGTTCCAAGCACAAGGATTCGTTCCCCCAGATACATAGGTTTCCACATTTTCCATTGCAACAGTTGGCATGAGTCGTGTATGGACATACGCACACCAATTTCTGTAACAAAATAAAAGTGTATAATGCATTAAAAATGCTTTTTTCGATTGAGGTCATTCCTATTGCTTACCACTTTAGCATATCTACCATAGAGCTTACTGTACCATCCACAGTCATCCCCTGACCCTTTAGTTTTTTACATGTCACTACAGCACTGGTTAAAAACCAGTTATTAGAAAATGTGCTTTATGAAAAAATAAATCAACAATGTCCCAAATGTAAATCTAAAGTCATATCCTGATGACCTGCCGACTTGAAGAGCCATACTACAATGATCATATACTGCCGATACTCCAATAGCAAATGGTAGTTCACTGGTATTACTGGGATGTCATCACAGTTCTAGGGAACCTGGGTGGTGTCATTGACCAAATATGATTATGATATTAGTAATACTACTACTAAATTATTTACTTCCAAGTGCAGCAGCCAGAGGTTCAGGCCGACGGGCTAATATCTATTAGCAATTTTCCCTGTGTTGTGGGCATTAGTTCAGTGTTGGCAACCTGAATCCTCTTTTACTGCACCCTCTTTTCATATGAAAAATGAAGAATGTTTGTCATCTAACAGTCTCAAGGTAGCTGGGTGATTTTAGATGCTGCTGGAAGCTTAAAGCTGATCTCTGGGAAAAAAAATATTGCTTCCTTTTTCAACTCAACTCCCTCTTTTTATTTTTATTGGAAATAATTTAATCTAAAAGCCCCAGTTGCTTGCCTGAAAAGCCAGTTTACATGACAGGCCAGGCCAGGCCACAGGGTCTTCTTTCTTCTGGTCTGTAGTGTGGAAGGGTCCTTCTTTCAGTGCCCACGCAACTTCCTAATGACATGGAACCTGCCCATTGGTTGTCCATCAAAGGGTCTTCACAGGATCATCACAGGGTCCTGAAGTCTTGTGAGCAACGGACACAAGACCACTCAGCTTGATCACTGAATCCCAGTGATAGGACCGTAGGCACCATTGAGGGCTTTATGACAATGGATTCAGGTGTTTTTTTTTTGTTTTTTTTTTAACTAAACATGAATTGGGTAGGTGCAAGTGGGTTAGCTTTTTTTGTTCCCTGGAAATGCTTTAAAGGAGAACTATGAGGTGAGTGCTTTTCACTCACCTCATAGTTCTAGCCGACATGTGACAATGAGACTGTCACAGGTCGGCTCAGTAGATTGGGAGGTGAGCAAACACATACCGGTGTTCGCTCACCTCTCGATCCTGTCACAGCCCTCTGCCGTGACAGGGGAGGGGCTGGATTCCCCCCTCCCAGCTCCGATGCGCCAGCGCTGACTGGCAGATCGGATGGGGGAGGGAGCGGGTACAGCTGCTCTGCCTCTAGATAGGCAGAGCCAGCTGTCACTCACGCAGCTGGGCAGATCCAGACATAATTGTCGGGATCCGCTTCAGCTGCGGCGTCTCAGTATACCGCGATCAGTAGTTTAAAAAAAGATGTAATCGCTTTGTATAAAGTATGAGAACTAAGCACAGTAAACATATTGTAAACCCAAATCACTGATTGTAAAACACAGAGCTCTTACATCTAGGAGAATGAATACAGACCTCACTGAACAGGCTCCAATGTTCCAAGCACAAGGATTCGTTCCCCCAGATACATAGGTTTCCACATTTTCCATTGCAACAGTTGGCATGAGTCGTGTATGGACATACGCACACCAATTTCTGTAACAAAATAAAAGTGTATAATGCATTAAAAATGCTTTTTTCGATTGAGGTCATTCCTATTGCTTACCACTTTAGCATATCTACCATAGAGCTTACTGTACCATCCACAGTCATCCCCTGACCCTTTAGTTTTTTACATGTCACTACAGCACTGGTTAAAAACCAGTTATTAGAAAATGTGCTTTATGAAAAAATAAATCAACAATGTCCCAAATGTAAATCTAAAGTCATATCCTGATGACCTGCCGACTTGAAGAGCCATACTACAATGATCATATACTGCCGATACTCCAATAGCAAATGGTAGTTCACTGGTATTACTGGGATGTCATCACAGTTCTAGGGAACCTGGGTGGTGTCATTGACCAAATATGATTATGATATTAGTAATACTACTACTAAATTATTTACTTCCAAGTGCAGCAGCCAGAGGTTCAGGCCGACGGGCTAATATCTATTAGCAATTTTCCCTGTGTTGTGGGCATTAGTTCAGTGTTGGCAACCTGAATCCTCTTTTACTGCACCCTCTTTTCATATGAAAAATGAAGAATGTTTGTCATCTAACAGTCTCAAGGTAGCTGGGTGATTTTAGATGCTGCTGGAAGCTTAAAGCTGATCTCTGGGAAAAAAAATATTGCTTCCTTTTTCAACTCAACTCCCTCTTTTTATTTTTATTGGAAATAATTTAATCTAAAAGCCCCAGTTGCTTGCCTGAAAAGCCAGTTTACATGACAGGCCAGGCCAGGCCACAGGGTCTTCTTTCTTCTGGTCTGTAGTGTGGAAGGGTCCTTCTTTCAGTGCCCACGCAACTTCCTAATGACATGGAACCTGCCCATTGGTTGTCCATCAAAGGGTCTTCACAGGATCATCACAGGGTCCTGAAGTCTTGTGAGCAACGGACACAAGACCACTCAGCTTGATCACTGAATCCCAGTGATAGGACCGTAGGCACCATTGAGGGCTTTATGACAATGGATTCAGGTGTTTTTTTTTTGTTTTTTTTTTAACTAAACATGAATTGGGTAGGTGCAAGTGGGTTAGCTTTTTTTGTTCCCTGGAAATGCTTTAAAGGAGAACTATGAGGTGAGTGCTTTTCACTCACCTCATAGTTCTAGCCGACATGTGACAATGAGACTGTCACAGGTCGGCTCAGTAGATTGGGAGGTGAGCAAACACATACCGGTGTTCGCTCACCTCTCGATCCTGTCACAGCCCTCTGCCGTGACAGGGGAGGGGCTGGATTCCCCCCTCCCAGCTCCGATGCGCCAGCGCTGACTGGCAGATCGGATGGGGGAGGGAGCGGGTACAGCTGCTCTGCCTCTAGATAGGCAGAGCCAGCTGTCACTCACGCAGCTGGGCAGATCCAGACATAATTGTCGGGATCCGCTTCAGCTGCGGCGTCTCAGTATACCGCGATCAGTAGCTCACGGTATACTGTGGCGTCTCAGTATACCGCGAGCTATAGCTCGCGGTATACTGAGCTTAGGGTGATGGGAGGACGCTAGTTTGTGTCCTCCCGTTACCCTAAGGAGAACTATGGGGAAAAGCCTTAACCCCATAGTTCTCCTTTAAGATGTATAGGAAGCATTTCTTATTATTCTTTAGATCTTTTATTGTAATTGGCATATATATTTTGGCATATAAATCCTGTATAATAATAATACATGCGTAGTGAATACTTGTATGTATTACCATGACTACAAAGACCAATAAATATATAAGTGTATAGTTTGATTCCTGAGCCTTTCTTTTACTGCATACATTAAAACACAAAATGCATCAGCCTTCCTTTCTTTCGCCAAATATTTAACTTTTCCAAAGTCATGATGAATTAAAACAAGTGGAAATCTGCATTGACTGGCAGTTGTTTACCCTCATAAATCACTGTGTTTATTATGCATATGTCAATACAACTGCTTAATGTCTGTTATCAGAGTTTCTCAGTTCCTTTATCTCTAGACAAAAATGCTTTGCTGGACAGAATTCTAAACTGAATGTAATCCTCATTAAAGAATTGCTAGGCAAAATGTCTAGAAATTAGAAGCAATAAACCAGTTAGACCTTTACCTAGTTATCCTTAGTTCAGAAAAAACAAATACCGTATTAAAAATAACTCTTATATGAACATGTTTTTGGCTTTTTATTGATTTTGAATATACAAGATACTAGACGGTCAGCGTAGGGAAGTATCAGAGATTTAGCAATCATATAGAGAGTGCTAAGATAAGAGCTGATCAAGGGTATGGTTAAGTAGAAAACTGTGTGGGAGAGACAGAGTTAGGCCAACAAGCTAGGGGGAAATCAAACAATTGCAGGCAGGTGCCAGACAACAGAGGGTACCAGAAGGGGAAGCCATCTGTGAAATGATGCAGCCTGTCAGGGCCTTCACAAACACCTATTGAGTGATTTGGGTATCTGTAGACTGCTCATTGGAACGGAGAGAATCATGGTGTTACCAGAACACTATGCAACAAGGAAGGCTTTTAAAGCTAGGTAGCCTGAAACACTACAGCAATGTCTGGTAAAAAAGCAGAAGCAGTTGACGGTTAAACACTCTTTAAATATAACTTTAACTATTAATAAATGCTGAGTAAAAGCTAATTGATATATTATTATGAATAGCGCATTACATTATTCTAATTATTACAAATATACATAAACACCATTCCTAAAGGAAGATATAGACAGATATTGTAACTTTTTTCCCCCCTCCTTTTGTGCATCTCAATGGTGCAGCTGTCCACATGCAATGGTTTAAGGTAAGCTTTTAGATAGTGACAATAGTGGAACATGCCTGAGCCTTGATAATTGTTTCTGATAACTATAGTCCCCAAATGAAGTGTAATACAGGACAGCAGTTGAGAGAAGAGGACATTGTCACCCTACAACAGGAAGTGTCTATGCAAGCACCTACATGGCAGGATCATCAGGTATTCTTTTACTGAAAGCTATAGATTTAAACTGATTTAAACTGATTGAAAATTACTTTTAAAACTACTGTAGGGATCTAGAATTCTTCGAAATTCTCCTCCTATACTTTTGTGATCTGTTAGGGTAGTTTTGTCAGCTTAGCTGTGCTGTCTAGTGTTCTCTAAGTATGCAATGATTATTCTTAGTCACATGCTGTATTGGGTGCAGAGTGTGCTAGAGATAAAACTCCACATGAAGGATGTTTAATGCCTGGCCAATCAGTAGGTCTGGGGAGCCTACTGTGCATGCTGGGAGAGCTATTAAATATCTGAGGCACTTCTTGGCACAGTCTCTTTCCCTACAGGGTGTTCCGCTGTAAGGATGCCACAGTGATTCACTAAACTAGGCCTCAGGCCTGAGGGCCACGGGCTATGGAAGCTGCGAGTATCCCCCAGTCTGGGAGGTGTCCTTAAGATGCTGGCTGCAATTAAGTGTTATCCTAGCCTAGAGGAAGCAAGCTGCAGGTGTGGAGATGGTGAGTGACGGACAGAGTTTCAGAAGCAAACATTAGAACCTTCCACTGCTGTCCTGCCTTGATGTAACAACTGAGCATACACTAGAACCTCAGTTACAAGGAGCCACATTTACATGGTATGGGTCCAGCCAGTATAGTTTTATAGAAGATGGAACCAAAAATATATACATCTATATAGAAGACCAAAGGAATATGCTTTGTCATACCAAAAAGGGTACCCTGTGCTCCCTTATCTGCCTACCTTTATTCTCCATGCACGTGCAAAATAAAACTACTTAAAATATAGTCCAAGTGACTGAAGCTCATTTCTCTTATCCACTACTGACCAGAGTTGTAAGTACAGAAGACTATGCCCAGGGACCAGGTAATTCTCAACTAGGGGTCCCACTTGTACACCACAAGGCCCAGCTGGGTGGAGGTACTATCCAGTCCCATACTCCCACTTAGTGGAGGCTCAGGATTTTCATGTTACCTACAGGTTGCCAGTGGTAGCTGATTGGAGACGGTCAACTCACATGACCCCACCCCCCGAAACAGGGCTACACTACATTAATGTGTTAACATGGAACTGAAACCTCCTTTTGCGGCTGAAGACACTATTTAGATCTGCGTTTGCCATTGTGTTGTACATGTATTCAATTATGACACCAGTCATATGAGGGCATGACATTTCATTACTGGCAACTGTTGTTACAAGAGGCATTCCTTGAATTAAACACACACTTCACAAATGCCAGTAGGCAAATTGTAAATAAAAAAACTAGAAAACAACAATGGATTGTTTAATTAAGAATTGTATTACATTATTGAAGATTTCTAACTTGAGATTTCTTTTGGGAAACATTAAATTTAATATTAGTATGTCTAGTTCTGCTTTAAAGACTTTATTTGCTTTTTGAGGTACAGTTTACATTCACTTTAACTGCAGTCATGGAGACCAGTTTTGGCTAATTTCTCTGCTCATAAACTAAACCTTAAGCTTTTAAACAATTAGTAAGAATTAAAAAAAAGAACTGTTGCAGGGAACAAAAAATCTCAGTATAAAAGGTAACTAATACAGTGAGATAGGAGAGCTTTGGATAAGGCAATGGACTGCTGATTAGGGACTGGAAACCCCTAGTCGTCCAGGCAGAAGAAAAGTTAGATACATGCAAGTAGTGAGACCAAAGACAAAAGTTGACAACCAGCAGCTGGGGTCAAAACTGTGTGTGGAAAAGCCTATAAAATCCAAGGTGAGTTCCAGAATATCAAGCTGGACAAGACACAAATACTTAGGGACAAAGGCACAAGGGCAGACCTGGCACCCAGCCAAGGGTTATGATGAACGGTCCGTGGTCTGAGCAAGCCTTTCCGTCTAAAGCAGCATCCTTTCAGAAAAATGTAACGTGCTAAATTGTGCACAGTTGCCCCCAGGTGTTACTGCTTGGCTAACTACTTCTTTGCCTTTGGCTAAGGAGGTTTCGAACGCTAGAACAGGCTATGTTCGAGTCGAACCTATGTTCGACTCGAACATGCAGCCCATCCCTAGTTACTACACAGTCAAGCAACCTGA